GCTGACAGGCGAGAGGGCCCCAAGGCTGGAGCTAATCAAGGAGGACTTGGGAAAATAGGCCACTGAGGAGACAAAACCTGTCCCCCTGGCAGGGGCGCAGCTCCTGCCTACCTCACATCACCCTGTTTGGCCCTGGAGGATGGCTGGCTAGTCAATGATGGGTAAGACCCCTCGAAGGCAGGGGCAACCTAAGACAGGCACAGCCTCATGGGGCCATCAGGGAAGGGCTTGGGGGACACAGAGAAAGGGCAAAGAACCCTCAACCTTCAGCTTTGATATGGCTGGAGTCCTCATTCTATCTCAAAGAAGTCTCCTTATCTCTTGGCAGCTCTGATCCCCCGCCTGGATCAGGTTTGAAACAATACTGGAGACAGCCCTAACTTGGATTGGGCAGTTCCTGGGGGAAATCAGGCCTAGAAGTAAATTCCTTGAAGCATGCTTTGTTTTTTCCCTCAAAAGCTATGATAGCCAGCTCATGCTGGGAAGGAAATTTACGCTATTCACAGACCCTGACCCTAAACCCTTTGGCATTCTTATGTTTACACTTTCATGTTTACTCGTCTCCTCTTGGACCCATGTAAATCGGCGTGTTCCTGCCATTTACTTTCTTCAAAACATCATCTCTTTTCTGTAAACATTAACATACTGATGTAATGAGATCACCTGTACATTCCTATTACCTAGTCCCACTGATAAGCCTTTCAATAAAAGCCATTGGAGACAGGTATTCGGGGCCTTCTCCACTAGAGGGAAGTGCCACCTCTTTCCCTGGGAGACAGAGAAGTGTCTGGAATGACTTATTTTATTTCCCACATCCGTGACGACCCTGGGACAGGCTCTGCGGGATCAGAGTTCGACCTCCACCTCAGCTGGCACCGAACAAGGACCCTCAGATCCAGAGCCCTGCGCCACCTCAGTTTTTAATTATTTCTATAGGGTTAGTTTACAAACTAAAACAATATAATATACAAAAGCTGTACAATTTTAGAATGGCAGGCTTCTGCCTCAGAGCTTGTCCCCTTTAGAACATCCAAAGAATAACCCTGCCCCCCTCTACCAGGCCAGCCTGATCCTAAGCTGTGCTCAGGGTTCCTTTCCATCCCAAATACTGTCCTTTGGAAAATGCAGGCAGCTGCAGCATGGTCATCCAGGCATCCTTGAGGAAAAAGAGAGCACCAGCAAGCCAAAGAACCCAAGAGCCTTCTTGTATTTCAGATCTTCTGGCCCATAATTCCATGTGCTCTGGAGGCGTTCAGCTTCTCAGCCAATCCTGTCCTAGACTGTTTACCATCACCTTGGGCAGCCTCTTCCTTCAGCCCCTTCCTAGTTCTCTCCAGTGATCTGATCACATCTCTGTATCAATGAGTACTTGGTCTCATGAAAACCATCAATGAAGGTGGTAAAGCGCTAAATATAGATACCGAAGCATATGTTAAGGATTACATTTTACAATGAAAAACATTAGAAAGGTTTTATCTAATGGATGGATCCTTTTCCCTATATGATACCTTGCCTTGTGTTACTTTCTTTTGATCTAGTTTGTTCACCAGAGAGTATAAAAAGCAATGTTAAGTATTACATCTTACTGCCTTTTATCTAGCATATTTACACTCTGGTGGCAAATTTTTTTTTTAAAAGAACATTGATAATATGACTGCCTCGCTGTTTCTTATTTTTTTTAAATAGAAATCTTTTAACATTAAACATTTATTGTCTGTGTTGATTGGGCAAAATTATAATTTTCTTATCTACAGCATGAAGATAATAAAGCCTAGTACACAGGTATGTTGAATTAAATGAGATAAGTGAACATGTATATTAAATACCATTCTGATATAAATGGAGCAGGGCACTGTTAGCTGTTGTAGGAGAGAGAAAGATGACTAAGATCTCATATCTCTCAGAGTAAGAGTGACAAATATGTGTTATACCAATTGGACTTCAAGGCAAAGTGACTCAGACTCTTGAATGAGGCACTGGATTTAAATAATGTGAGAAAAACAAAAAGAATGATTGATTCTACCTGGGCAGTCATAGTTGAACAGAGTGTCAAATAGACAAGGGCATAGGAGTGGATTGGGCAGACAGGCATTTTAGATTTCGGATTGAAGGAGATGTATGAATGAAGGTAGGAAAGTTCATAATATGTATTTGAGTTTCCTTTGTTTTAAATATTCATGGATTTTGATATATTACAACTGGCTCATGTTGCCTCATGCTACCTCACTGGAGCATCTGCCCGCCAGGCAGCTCCTTGCACATAGAGACTGGTCATATTCATTTTTGTACATCCAGAGTGCCGCACAGAACCTGGCAAAAGGCAGGTGACCAACAGGTAATTGGAGAGTAGATGAATGAGCACCAACTTTGCAACATTCAGAAAGTGGTGTATCATTTATTTTCTAGATTGAAATACAGTACAGAGGATGTGTTTGAATTTCTAGGCCCTTTGTCTATGGCCAAGCAGCAGTGAGTGTGCCTGGTCTCATCTGAATTTCTAAACCTTTTATCACATACTTACAGATAGGTTTGCTTTGCCGATAGTTGTGCATTGAGGGTGTGTGAGTGTTAGGTCTTCAGTTTTATGTGAAGAGTTGACCCAAAGCCATGGAGCTTTCTTTACTTGCTGCTGCAGAGGGCTGGCTCTTATGCCACCTCCCAGGGACCGTTCCATTCCTGAAGGTATTCAACACAGCTTCCTGTGGAGCTCCATTCCCTGAAGGTTAGAGCTGGCTCCACTCTTTCTCCCAGAAAAAAATGAAGTCTTGCCTGCCAACTTTTGGCTACCTGGACTGAAACATTATTTTGCAGGAGAGGAAGCACAATGGAAAAGGGGTGTGTCTCCAGGAAATCTAATTGCTCTGCAGTGAAGCATGTGAAAAATGGAAAGAAAGGAAGTGGCTTAATAACTAGAATTCCACTTTGTGTGATATTTCCTTTTTGGGTTTTGTCTCCTGCTCTGTTATATTACCAGTATGTTTTAATGTTTTATTTCTTGTCTACCTGGTAAATTGCTTTTATATATATTAGCAGTGTTTTGGATCCACTGTGAATAGATTCACTATAAGAAAAAAAACAAGAAGAAAACTGTGTTTATTTCTTTATTCATTTCTCATGATTTTGAGAAAGGAAGTCAGGAAAAGCTGTTTTCTACGCATACTCCCTTCACACTCTACCCATTGTTAATGATCTTTGTTAGTGGACTAATTAAACCATTGATGTTACCATTAAAATATGAAGTAGCCATTCTTGGCTTAAATGACTTTTTTTTCTGTGAATAATACAATTTTTGCATTACAAATATTTGCAAAAACTTCCTAACAGCAAAGTCAAATATATTATGTCCTCCCTGAGAACACAAAAGGTTAAATTTAAAGGCCAAGCAGTTAGCACAGCTCCACAGATGTGGATCAAAAGAGGAAAGGGTGGGGCAGTAGTTTTTCCTTCCAGGCATTTATTGTTTGTCCCCTGCAGGCCTCTTCCTAGACCTCATTACTAACTTCTTTCACATACCCCTCGGGTTTGGTCAGAGCTGGGTTTGGTCAGAGCTACACTGACCATGCTGGACTTTTAATTGTATAGCAGGGAGAGTAGTTCCAATTTAAATACACATTTTGATGTGACTTAAAAAGCCATTTAGTAAGTAGTAATCATCCCATTTGTGAGACTCATGAGATTCATGGATATATTAAGGCTCAAGATTCCAGGGGGAATTAGGAATATTTATTAGGAATATATGGGGGAGAGTTGGAACAAGGCTCAAGGATGGAGGAACAATCCATCCTTGTTCCTCCAAGGAACAATATTTGTGGCAAATATTACTTAATGAAAAAGTTAAAAAACTTTGGTATAAAACAGCTCTATTAAAATGGCCTTCTTTGGTTTGGTACATTGAAGGTAGTAAATGTTTGTTGAAATGTATTTCTAAACCAATGCCATATTTTCAACCCTCCTTCTCTTCTTCTGTTTTTGTATTTGGGCCAACAAATTACCCAAATTATGGTTGACAAACTTGAGAGTAGCACTGCAGAATTTAGTAAAATGAATCATATTTTTGAAGGAAAATGAGATCAAATAAAGACTTGTTACACATAAGAAGTCCTCTGAAAATTTCTGTATAACTTTCCAGTGCCCAGTTTTTTTATTCTGTCCCTACCATTGTGTGAATTGCCAGGTTGCATTAAGCTCTCCAGACTTCAGTTACCTCCTTTTTAGGATTAAGACTAACTTTAAGGCCCATTTTAGACAAACTTTAGACATATTCATGTTAGCACCTCGTTCACTAATTAAATTACTTTTCTCGAGCAGAATAAATGCAAGACAAATAAAATTTTCCTCATTAACTTTTTTAACCTGTTTTCAAAAATAGTCTTGCCTGTGTTTTCATTGTGGTGTACATAGCATGACATTACCTCAGGGGACACAACCTTTGATTGCAGCATTGTAAGTGGGAGGTAACAGAGCTTCAAACAGCTTTGGAGTTGGTGAGACCTGAACTGAATCTTGACTGACAAGTACTGGCTTAATGACCTTAGGCAAATTATTCACTCTTACTAAGGCTCCATTTCCTACTGTGCTATGGAGCTGATGATGTATTTATAAAGTTATTGTGAGGATTAAACAAGATTAGGAGGCACAGAGCCTGGTTTATGGGAAACAATACATATTACCTCATATTGATGTAACCTTTTTTAAAATTGTTTTTTAAAATTACAGTTTACATTTATTGTCATTGTGTATTAGTTTCAGGTGTACAGCAGAGTGGGTGGACAGTCACGTACCCTTCAAAGCGTTCCTGCAACTGTATTTCCAGCACCCAACGGGCACCGTACACAGGCACTGCAACACTATTGACTGTATTTCCTGTGCTGTACTTTATTGATTTAACCTCTTATATCATAAATTAAGGACTATTTCACTCAAATACTTACTAAGTAAACTAATGATTAGAATGTTTTCCTTATGGAGACTGACCTAAAATATTTTTTTTCTCCTTGCAGATCTTATATTGCACTTTAAACACACCAAAAGTTGACATGGAAAAACTCTTAGGATCACAAATAGGTCTTGAAGATTTTATATTTGCTCATGTGAAAGGGATCAAAAAGGAAGTGAGTGTGTATAAATCTGAGGATTCACTTGGTCTCACCATTACAGATAATGGTGTTGGCTATGCTTTTATAAAGGTAAGTCTTAAAAAATAACTGTGTGACCTAACTGAGGGTAATATTTAAGAAAACCTACCTAGTCAAAGAAAGTTGGAAATGGTTTTCAGCGTGAAGGTCATCTCAGAAGGGATGGACAGATTGGTAATGTTTTATTTTAAAATGTTTTAAAGATGTCATTTTTTGTTTACCCTTTTCTTGAATTTCTTATGTTCAGTTTCAACTTCCTCTTGAAATTAGAACTTACTGAAACCTGGCCCTGCTGCCTACTCGTTATCCCTATGAGCTCTTACTTGCAGGCCTTTGGGTCATTAACACCTGATGACTTCCATGCTGATTTCCTGATTTAGGCCATTTTCCTAAGAACTGAGGAGTGGTAAAAAGAAAAATAGACTCATCTCTTAAAACTAACAGTTCTATTATTGTGATAAGTAGCTGTAATAACACTGACTTACCATGTACTAGGCACTTTGCATACATTTTTCTCACTTAATCTTTACAATAGTTCTACATGGTTGGTAGTATGTTTTTTATTTTATTTACTTTTTTGCTGAGGTGTAACAAATTTTTAATGTACAGCTTAATGAACGTCTATATACTTACACCTGTGTGACCACCACCCAAGTTAAGGACAATTTCATTTCCGCCGCCCAGAAGGCTCCATTGTGCCCTTTGCATTCACAGTTCTGCCCCACAAAGGCAGCCGCTCTTCTGATCCTGTCGCCATAGTTTGGTTTGTTTTTGAACTTCATGTAGGGAGAATCATATATTATGTACTCTACTGTTTCAAGCTTCTTTTGTTCCACATAAGTTCCAAGATTCATCCATGGGTAGGCACTGTTATCAGCCTCTAATTTACAAATGTAGAAAACAAGATTAGGTAGCTTGCTCAAAGTTTTGCAGCTGGACAAATTCAGGGTTTGAGTCCAAAAGATCTGACTCCAGAGTTGGCAGTCCTAGTACTGAGCTAAGAAAAAGTGATAAACTCCATGCAACAGAGCATGTTTTCATGCTTTTATTTTGTCCAAATCCTTGCTTTGCTGAAGCATTGTCATCATTTAAAAAAAAACAAAACAGTCTTAGGAAAGTCATCTTCTTAACTGTAAATAGTACCTTATTTAACTTCCCATTTGATAGAATGGCTATTTTTAGCTCTGCAAAAGATATGACTGTGCTGAAGGTTGAGTGGGTGACCAAATGGAAAATCCGTGAGTTGGAAAGACATGTGGGATTATCAGGGGGAAGCTCAGGACATGAGGCACACGCAGTAATGCCTTTCTAATGTCAGCAGGGAAGGGCTTGGAAGTTTTGCAAACATGCATGAGTTTTTTAGATCTTAGCCTCTGATGTTCAGAGCTTGTGTTTCTATTTTTTTATGCTTTGTCAAACGTGTGCCTGCCTCAGAGCGCTAGTCACTAGCCCTGTGGAGATAGAACACATGGTGGCATGGAGACCTGGTGCATAAATTAAGCTGCCAACACATAGTTCAACTCTGAAGAGAAATGAATATTATACTGTGTATGCAGTTGATAGGATTTTTTAAAAATTGAAGGGGGGGATAATTTCAGACATACTGAAAGAATGTAATAATAACATAAAGAACTTCCATATAACACTTTACTGAGATCTCTAGTTTCTACCATATGCTACATTTGCTTTTCTCTCACACATGTATTATGTGCATATATACACACATAGACATATATATAATTTTCCTTGAACCATTTGAAAAGTTGATTGCCTATATCGATAATCTCTTTATCCCTTAATACTTTAGAATGTAGTTAGTTAGGACAAAGATGTTCTCTTACATATAACTATAGTACAACTATGAAATTCAGAAAATCGATCAGTGATATAATGCTTTTAAACTAATCTAATATGTCCATATTGCAATTTTATCAGTTGTCCTAATAATTTTATCTATAGCATTCCGCCCCCCCCGCCGGTATAGGTCCAATATAGGATCATGTATTTCATTTAGTTGTCATATCTCATTAGTTGTCTTTATTCTAGAAAAGTGTCTCAGCCTTTTGTAGAATATTCCCTCAATTTGGGTCTTTCTGATTTTTTCTTGTGTTGAAAAACAGATTGAACATTCTTGGCAGTAAAAGTAGGTAAGTGATGCTGTGCCCTTCTTATTGCACTACATCAGAAGGTGCATCATGTTGGCTTGTCTCATTTATGATGTTAATTTTTGTCACTTGTCTAAGGTAGTGTCTGCCGATCTTATTCATTGCAGAGTGATATTTTCCTTTGCAACAATTTGTGGGAAATACTTTGAGACTAGGAAAATATCCTGTTCTTTTATTGTATCCCACAGATTTTGCATCTATTGGTAAGTCTTGCCTGAATCAGTTTTTATTACAATGATTGCAAAATGGTGATTTTCCCCCCCTAATTCCATCACTCTTTATATATTTATTTTAAAACATTCTATTGAAAAAAAAGCACTCCATTTATTAATTTGTTTATTTATTATCAACAAGGACACATGATTTCTTATTTTACTCAGTGATTTATAGCCCATTACCATTATTCATTTTGGTGCTACTCTGAGAGTAGCCAGCCGGAGTCCCTTTCAGCTGGCACCTGTACCTGTTGGACATGGCTCCTGCCATTTTAGTGATCAGGTCCTTCCTTTTGGCACAAAATAATCTAGACTCATCTTACATCTTTTCCTCACGTCTGGAATCAACCATTTCTTCTAGGAGCTTTTGTGTGTGTGTGAGGACTGATATTTCAAAATGCTGTCTAGATGCTAGTTGTACTCATTCATTGCTCCTGCAGTGTCATTGTGTCTATTCCTTTCATTGGCAGGGTCAGAAAATGTGCAGTTTAGAAATTATGACTTTATTATTAGGCTTCCAATTATATTCCTTCTGCACACAGTTCTTGGCTTCCCCATAATTTACTTTCCAAAATTACTCATTTGCTTAGTCCTATAATATACACAAAATAGTTTTAGAATTGCTATATCTATACTATGCAAAATGAACCTATTAAGAAGTTTTCAAGATTTATATGTATTTGTTGTTTTTAAACTATATATAGATATATATTTATGTATATTATATATAAACTATAAATATATATATATTTTTAAAGTACTCTATTCAAAGATTACTTGGAATATATTTTCTCCTGTTTCCTCTCCCCATGATTGTTACTCGTTTGAAAAACTATTGAATCTAGTTGCTTTTCTGAATTGAGTTTGAGTTATTCCTCATTCTTGTTGACTTATTTTTTTCTGAATATGTAAAATATTATCATGATTCAAAAGTTAAAGCTATTTTAAAAGATCTATTCAGAGATGTGTTTCTTTTCCCCTAGCCCTTCTATATCATTACTCATTCCCCCCACTCCTAAGAAGGAATCAATTTCATTAATTTCTGGTTTACCATTCCAGAGTTTCTTTTTGCCAAGATAAGCAGACAAAAGATGGGACTTTCCAAGAATAGCATGGTCTCTGCACAAGGATGATGTGCAGTTGTCTTTGTATAGGTCCAGTTTTAGTGTATGTGCTGCTGAAGTGAGTACTAGATATGCTTTTAGCCATGGCTGTACGTCAGGGTAGGTTGGAATTAGAGTAGAGCAGTGTGCTAGGGCTTCAGATGAGAGGGTAAGGTAGGGAGGGAGGATTCCATGATTAGGAAGGCAGTGTAGTGTGATGCATAGGAGCATGATTTCGAATCAGACACGTCTGCTTTCAGTCTAGGTTCAACCACTTATTAACTCGCTGTGTGACCTTGGACAAGTCATTAAACTTCTCTATGCCTTCCCTCAAATGGGAATATTAGCAACAACTTTATAGGATTATTTGGGCATATAATGACACACATGAAATGTTTTACAGTACTCGAAGTAGATAGCTAATACTTTAATGATAACAATAATAAAAAGTCATCACATATTTAGGAGATGAGATCAATGCAGAGAAATATATTTCATGGTACTGCATGGTCCTCACAGATGAAACTCTTCAAGTGAAAAGACAGCAGACTTAAACATTTGTGATTTTAGTAGTCAAGTGTCAACATTTCCTAGGAAAAAGTATATGAGTCAATCAGAAAATTGAGTATATTTGAATAAGAAAATCTATAAATTCCTTTAAGACTGGAGTTGGCAAACATTTTCTATAAAGGACCAGGTGGTAAATAGTTTAGGCTTTGTTATAATCTCTGTTGCAACTACTCGACTCAGCCATTGCAGCACAGAAGCAGTTATATACAACATTTAAATGATGAGCACAGCTGTATTCTAAGGAAGTAAAACCATATTTATGAGTGCTGTAATTTGAATTTACTATAATTTTCACATGTTGCAATTATTCTTTTTTTTCTCCCAACCATTTAAAAAGGTAAAAATCACTCATAGTTCATGAGCTATATAAAAAAAGTGGCTATATGAGCCATTGTTTGCTGATTGCTAGTTTAAGAGAAGACTTTGATTCAAAGTAGAATAAGGGCTTATACCATGTAATTAAGAAATGAGGCTGAATTGACTTAAAAAACTAAGTTTATTTTGAATTAAGTGATTTATAAATAACCACAGAACTCTCAGTCTCAGAATATCCTCTTATAGAAATCTTTAATGTGGGGTACTTTTACTTTAGTAGAACAAAGTTAGTCACATTTTAGCATGATCTTTATTCCAAGGAAGATGGTAGTCATGTATTTCTAACTTTCTGATCACTTGATTATCCAGATCTAATAATCAGCAAAGTTGGAATACAGTTCAAAGGGGCAGAGGATTCTAGGATGGAAGGTAGGATCTGTGAGAAGAGGGACATAAAGCCAGAATAGAAGCAGTGATCTGGGAAAACAGATATTGGAGATCTAGAAGCCATGATAGAGATGAGTAACAGCTTTAGTAGAAATAAGTGAAAGTAAAATGGAAAGGTGGGGGTTGTTAAAATAGAGATTTCAGAGTTCAAAGGTGATAGGTCATTTTCTTTCCCAGCTTTATTGAGATATAATTGACATATAACATTGTGTAAGTTTAAGGTGTAGAGCATATTGATTTGATACACTAATATATTGCAAAATGATCACCAAAGTGACAGGTCCTCTTGGATAACTATAACCCAAAACTCTGCTCTTGGGGTCATCTCATCTGACTTTTCTTTCTTTTTTTCTTGTTTCTTGTTTTTTTTTTTTTTTATTATTTTAACTAACTATTTTATCTTGGGTTAGTTAGATCTATCTGATTCTGAGTGATGTGTGGAAAGAACATACATTTTACAATTTTACCACCTCCATTTGAAGCCCAATTCTCTTGTTTATTAGCTGTGTTATTTTGGTTGAACCATATTTCGTTGTGCTTTGATTTCCTCATTCATTAATGGAATATTAAATATTTCCCTCCCAAGCTTGTTGTGAGGACCAAATGAAGTAATTATTTCCAGTTGATATATGACTGTTAGTTTTTTATTATGAACAAGGTTTGAGGCCAGTGTTAGGAGGGTCAGCAGCACAGATCTCAAAGTTTCTGACCATAGTGGAGGGACACACAGCTCTAACAACTTTGATTCTAATGCTGAAGACTTTGGGAAGTGTAGGTTGATCTCTGTGATTCTAGTTCTGCTGATATCTGTGATAAGAAGAGAGAGTTTTGTGCCTTTGAGATGAAACAATGGAAGATACTATAATAATGGTCTGAAATGGTTGGGAACTTCTAAGTTTAATAATGCAAATCTTTATCTTCCAAGAAATATTTAATGCCTTCTTCTTTGCTTTTTTTCTTTTTAAATCCTCATCTGAGGATATTTCCATTGATTTGGTAAAGGGAGGGAGAGAGAGCCATCCACAGATTGAACCTGGAACCGAGGTATGTGTTCTGACTGGGAAAAGAACACGTAACCTTTCAGTGTTTGGGACAATGCTCCAGCCAGCTAAGCCACCCAGCCAGACCTCTTCTTTGCCTTCTTTGGCTTCAATCTCCAAAATCTCTCAAAGATGAGAGAAACTTCTAAGTGTTGTAGAGAAAGATATGAAGTGACTCAGTAAATAAAGTATAGAGATAATGCCTCTTTTTTTTTTTGCCTTCCTAGTCCTTTGTGCCTGAGTAGCACTTTTTGCGATATTATTAATCTCTATCAAGTTATTGTATGGCTATCAAAGTATATTAGATTTCAGAAATTTGTCTCAACTGCCATCGCCTTTATCTACTTAGGAAGCTAAGGCTCAGGTAACCTACAAGATGTATAATCAATGTCTCCCTCTTTGCTCCTATGTCTGGTTCACCTTGTAGTTCTCTCCTCCAAGTTTATTCTGTTGATTTTCCTGTCTCTTCATCCCAGATCCTTCTCCGCTGCCCCTGATGATTACGTATGCTTTGACTTTTCTCTTTCCCACCTGGATTCTCACCTTGCTGACTGCGGACTTCTGGTAACTGCCTTTCCTCTCTCTCCCGGGGCACTGTGCTGGTGACTCCTGTGGCTGCTCACAGGGCCAGGCCAACTTACATTTCTGTCACTCTACCCTTTAATTAACTGGTAAGATTCATGCATGTTTTTAAAGTTTTTCATTTAATTAGTTTTATATAATGTTTATTTTAAATAAAATTATAGCAATGTCTTAAATGAAAAATAATATGTGAAACTGAAATAATATGTGAAATTTGTATGGTTGTAGTTGATTGAAGAAAAATATGTTCAGACTCTATCAAGAAATAGAATAAAAATTGAGAAGAAATTTAGAGTTACAAATTTTCACATTCTCAAATGATTTAAGAATGGTTAGGTGACAGAATATTACAGATTTTTTTTTCTTTGTTTCTTTGGACTCTAATGTTTTGTTTGATCTTGTTTATGTTTCTGTGAGTTGTGCATTGTGGCTACCATTGTTTGTTTTTGTGGCTTAAAAGACTAATATGGACTTATAATAGAACAATGTCAGTTAGATATGAAATTGCTGGATCCTTTGCTTTATAATTAACCATTTGTAACGATAAACGATAAGCTCTGTTTGGGCATTCTTGTGTCATTGGTATAAAGCATATTACTAGTTACTACTACAGTGAACATAGCAATGTTCTTAAAATTTCGGGGTAAAAAAATACCTATTGTGAGTTTTGGAATATTAGTAATAAAGTTTAAAAATTAAGAAATGTCCAACCTTCCCAAGTTAGTCTTTTACAAGTCTTTTTTTTTTCTTTTGGCAGTATTATAAAGATGCTAGGGTACATGAAATCAGTTCTCTTAACTCTTGGACACAGTGATCCATCAGCCTGCTGATTCAGATAGTATTCTTCCTCCTGGCAAGAGTGGGGAATACACATACTTTAATCACATAATAGCAGCAGCCCCTGATATTTCTATCCTATTATTCCCATGAAGGATTTGTGATACCTGAGGCAGACCATGGCTTTCATTTTGCTCCATTTCTTACCTTTGTGCAAGAACTTGTGCATCCTTTATAGGGTTGTTACTTGTGTACTTTTCTGGAGTTCCTGTCCCTAAAATCCCTTTAGCAATTCATATTGCTGTCTTAGGGAGTCTTAGGCCTCATTTTGAGACTGCAATAGAGATGCATTTTATATAAGTAAGATAGATTTTAAAAAAATCAATTTGAAATTTCTCCTTAGGTGAAAGGTCTTCTCACCTAAAATATATAAATGTGAAATGATAGTATAAAATCATTCTTATTGGCTCCCCAAATGGTAACCACACCTGTCTTTTATTAGGTATCATTTTTTCTTAGCTAAATTGTGCTAAGTCTTGAGTCACTACATTTGTAACTAAGGTTTAAAAAATATAGCAAGTAGAAAAATATCAAGCTCTATCCTTATGTAATGGGCTTCATGTTGAAATAATTCAGTAATCATTTATGGAGGGACTTTCCTCTGCAGGCATTGTGCTAGGTACAGGGCACACAATGGTAAATAAGTTCATCTTCTTTCTCAAGGATATTATACTTCAGTAATGGAACCTGAGAGGTAAATGAACATTTGCACTGTGGTTATGTTGAACTTGGCAAATGACTTGATCTTCCTAAGCCTCAATTTTCCTGATCTATAACACGACAGTCATTAAGGTTGTTAAAATTAAATGAGATAGTAATGTAAAGTTCTTAGCTTAGAACTCTAGCATCTGCAGCAAAAAGCCTTACCTAATCTTGGGGAAGCAGCTTTGGGAGATGTCAGGAAAAGCTTCTCAGCAGAGCTGGTGACTGTGGGGGAGCTGAATTCCGGAGGGTAAGGAAGAATGGTTGGAGGTAAGATGGTTGTCTTTTGCTGCTTGGTCTTCCCTCTTTAAGTGAGCATTAAACTGCATTGTTAATATGTTAATATAGTTTATATAATGCTTCAAGAGCATGAAAAGTAATGTTATGCAATACTATTTTATATTAAGAGTTATCCTTAATTTCCTTGTAGAAAATTAAAGATGGCAGCATAACTGACTCAGTTAAAACAATCTGTGTGGGAGATCACATTGAATGCATAAATGGAGAAAATATTGCTGGCTGGCGTCATTTTGAGGTTGCTAAGAAGTTAAAGGAATTAAAAAAGGAGGAACTCTTTACCTTGACGTTAATAGAACCTAAGAAGGCATTTGGTAAGTTGTTTTTATGTGTGTGTATGAAATGTTCCTTTCCCCTGACTTTCCTCCTTCCCTCCCTCCCTCCCTCCCTCCCTTTATTCCTTCTTTAAATCATTTTATTACCACTATTTATATCATAGTTATATTTTTCAGGGCTCTGTGCTGATTTGTTTTTACATTTTTTATTTAAAAATTTTTTAAATTCCAGTTTACATTTAAAATTATTTTGTATTAGTTTCGGGTGTATAGCACAGTGTTATTCAGTCATACCTTACACAGTGTTCCCTCTGATATTCCCAGTTTCCCTGACTTAGCTCTCCAAGGAAAATGAGTACTTCAGGGTAGTCATTATTGCGGTGTGGTGACAGATGCTGCTGGTGTATCCGTTAAAAACATAGGAAATAATAGATAGGATAATAGACAGTACTACTTATAAGGAAAACAACCACTGAAGGAAAAAAAATTTCCTAGAAGGACATATTCTAAAGAAAGTATTTGGAGTTAGGAAGTCTTTGAATTTGATGTGGCTGTTCCAAGCTAACAGCAGCACATTTTATTGTGTTCGTCCTCCTGAGCAGTAAGGTTTTTATTAGGCTCTCTAAACTATACCAACTGTCATTCATGATCCTCAATAGCAAAAACTTTGGTTACACACAGAATTGGTATTTAAAGTAGTTATCTAGTCTATTTTAAAGACTTCCTTCAATACTTTTCTTCCATTGGCATTTTGAATTGGCAGGGTGGGACAGTATGAAATTACTTCGGTGTGACATCTGTACTTGCTTGTGGCAGCTGTGTTCTGACTCTTGTTCAAGCCCCTGGGGCCATCTCATCTCTAGGAAAATGTGCCAGCTTCTCTCCCAACCCAGCACTATTTCAATAAGCCAAATGATAGTCTCGTGTTCATCAGTGTTCAGATACCATCTTCAGAGTCATTCTGGGCCTGCCCTACTCATCCACGACCCCACCTACTTTCTGTTCTTTCCTTTGCTAACAGAACAGGACTATTCCTTGCAGTTTGTCTCTAATGGCTATTTTCTCTCTCTTTAAAAAAAAAAATATGTATATATATGTATATACACATATATACATATTTTAATCAAGCTGCACTAGTAAATTCTTTGCTATTCAAAAAAATGGAAATATTTTAACATGGCCATGAATATGCACAAATTCCTTGGATGAAGATGAAATGATAGTCCCTTGAAGCTGTGAGACAAAGTGAAACAACAGGTAAACCAACCAACCAACAAAATCTCATCATCAAAATCAAGCTCCTGTTAGATATATGATAAAAAGGCTAACTGGAATTAGCAAACTAGTGTCATGAAGTTTTAAAATTTACATTATTGTAACATGCCAGAACCCACAAGCAAATTGTCCACCTATTAGCATTACTGATATGAGTCAGGCCCCCTACCCCCCCCGCCCTTTATAAACAACTTTTACTTAGAGGTAAAACTCATTTATAATAAAGTGTGTAAAGCACACTAGTCTTAAGTATACAGCTTGAAAGATTTTTACGAAAGTACACATGACTATGACCATCACCCTAATCAAGAAATAGAACATTTATTCCTTCACAGAGTTTCTTTTTCCTTCTTTCCAATGTTTTTGTCCTCCCTTTCCCCTGCCCCTACCAAAGGTGCACCTCTGATTTCTATCACTGTTAATCTTGAGCTTTATATGAGTGTAATTGTTAATGGCTATTTTCTCAAGGTGGTTAGTGACAATGATGGGAAAATGTAGTGGATCCGGGGAATTACATTTCTCCTTCCTTTAGCAAGTAAGTGGCAGAGCCTAGCCATATGGAATTGGAAATTTTTTTCTGCTTCCAAGTGATTCTGTGCCATTTAATAGAAATACAGTATAGGTTATATTACTTGTGGACGACAAAGTTCCAAGAAGATGTAAGAAAAGAAGGCTTTATGCCAATACCTCTCCCGGAGGCACCATTCTAGAAACCACTGCCTTGGACACGATGGTGGTGCCCAGCGCATTGTGGCAGCTGAGCTCACTTCTAACTGACACAGGTGGGCCAGCACTTGGATTTCTGTCTAGCAGCTCCTTTTGAAGTGGCTTTGCTTGGTAACCAACTTCCCAGGTCTCATAGCATATAAACTGATAGTATGTGTCCCTGACCGGTGTGACTCAGATGGTTTGGCCTTGTTCCACAAACTGAGCAGTTGCTGGTGTGATTCCTGGCCAGGGCATATGCCTCAGTTGTGAGTTTGTACCCTGGTTAGGGCTTGTACAAGAGGCGACCAACTGAGGTTTCTCTCGCATATCAATGTTCTCTCCCTGCTCTCGCTTTTTACCTCCCTCCCCTGCTCTCTAAAAATAAAGAAATAAAATCTTTAAAAAATTGATAGCATGTAGGGAGTTGGAGAGAGAGATTCTTATTTGATTTAGACCCTTTGTAAATGTAAGTCATTCTCATAGTATAACTCAAGGAAATCTCTACCACGTAATCTTGTTTTCCAGAGTTAATCTTTTCCTATTTTTCTCTGTTGCCTCATAAGAATTCCATGAATAGATTTGAGAAGGACACTGGACAGATTTCCTAGTGAGGGTGTATTATTTCAGCATTCCAAGTTCTGGTGGTGCTGTGGGTTAGACTACCTGGAGGTTGATTTTTGAGACAATGATGGCTTTTTATTTTCCAAGGTTTCTGTGACAGCTTAACACAATTTAAGACTACCGGTCTACATGCATTTCCCCCGCTGTGGGTTGATCCTTGCCTCTGCGCCCCAGCCTGGGGACTTTCCTCTTAGAAGTAGGCCTTGCTGCTCTGCTCATTCGTCAGCCCTTAATTTTGCAGCTTATCTTTTTGCCTCTGAAAGAAAGTCAACACTAGTTTGTTCCTCACCCTCTGGCTTCATCCCAGCGCTTAGCTCTTTGCCAGGGAGGGCTTATACATCAGGAGGTACCTGGGAGACCAGGCTTCCCCTAGTTTTCTCAGTCCCAATCTTATCTTTTGCTATGTTTTCTTCCTTTTTGTGTTTTTCTAGCGTTATCCTTGATGTAGTAATTCAAATTTCCTAGTTTATTTTTTTTGTGATTATCTGACTCTGTCATCTTGGATTTCTACTAGGAGAAAGGGCCACTCTAGGTGAGGTAGAATTTTTTCTTCTCTGATTTAGATAGGCCATCTTGCCTGAAGCTAAGTATTTCTGGGATTTTACCAAAAGCTGTCAGGAATGGCCACACACTGCAGTATTTTCTTTCCTTCTTTTTTGCTTTTTAATCCTCATCCAAGGACAGCTTTACTGATTTTAGAGAGAGAAGGGAAGGGAGAGAGATAGAGAGGGAGAGAAATATTGATGTGAGAGAGAAACATTGATTGGTTGCCTGTTGTATGAGCCCTAACCGGGGACTGAACCCACAATCTAGTCATGTTCCTTGACTGAGAATCGAACTTGTAACCCTTCAGTCTATGGTACGACACTCGAGCCAGCTGAGCCACACTGGCCATGGTACCACTGTTTTCTTATCAATTTTCCTAAAGATTTAGCCTGAAGAGTCATGTGGATTGCGTGTGTCCCAAAATGCAGGAGGAAGTAGTGTAGTTAACTGTTTTGTAATGATGTAACATGAATAACGAGCACAACTTCTCAGCCATGAATAGGGTCCACCTGCTCCCATTTCTATATTTAGGTCTACCACTAGCCACATCCTACTTTAGGGGCATTATATGTGTCAAGATTTTCTGAGAGTTACAGAGTAAGCACTATCTAATTGAGAAAAAAGGCATTTTTTTTGAAAGTCTTAACAGGTAGATCTCAGAAACAAAGGCTGTTGATCCAACCTTGGGAAGCTTAGGAACCAAGGCTGTTTAAGGGATGTGTGAATCAGGAACCCTTCATGGTACTGGCTTAATTAACTCTTTCCAATTATTTTCTGCCTTCATGTTACTTTGCTTAGGGTTCAAATTCTTAGGATAGAGGGGGCAACTGATTAGGTCATATGCCCACCTTGATAGCTGGGATGGTAAGCTACATGATTGATAGGCCCACCAAAGTCACACAGAACAGTGAAGGGGAAATTTCCTTTTGGGTAGGAAAAAGGCAGATGCTGACATTATCATTCTCCTAAGCTGGTACCTTGTACTTTAGGCAGAGCAATGTTAGGTTTCTCTTGACTTTAAATCTGACTCTAGCCATGAAAGATACATTCAGTCTGGGTATATCAGAATGAATCTGAAGGGATGAGGGTATTGTCAGTTGGTTTTGGGTGACTGGTCTTAAGGATTTTTCTGCTAAGTGTTGGATACTATAAACGTGGTTGTCTGACAATGGACCATCTAGAAACTATGACAATATCAGCATTTTTTAGGGGTAAAGCCATCTTCTTTGTGCTGGCCAGCAGATTTGGAAGGGGCCATGCTCCACAGATGCGGACTTATGCAAAGGTCCTTCATTTATGTATCTCACCAATAATTTGAGGATCTTCTGTGTTTCAGGTGCTCTGCTAGTCAAAATAAACACTAAGAAAGAAGACTAAGTTATAGTTCCTGTCTTTGAGGGCCTCACAGGAGACCGTTATGTACTAAATTGTGCCCCCCTATAATTCATATGTGGAAGTTTTAATTTCCAGTACTTTAGGATGTGACTGCATTTGGAGATAGTGTCTTTAAAGAGGTAATTAAGTTAAAAATAGGTCATTAGGGTGGGCCCTGATCCAATGTGACTGATGTACTTATAATAAGAGGAAATTTGGACATGAAAACATAGAGGGAGAAAGCCATGTGAACATGAAGACAGTCATCTGCAAGCCAAGGAGAGAGACCTCAGAAGAGAGCAGCCCTGGTGTCAGCTTGATCTTGGACTTCCAGCCTCCAGAACTACAAGAAAATATGTTTCTGTTGTTTAGGCTAGGTGTTGCTTTGTTATGGCAGCCCCAGGAAAGTAACGAGGCCAGTAAGCAAAAACAAAACAACAACAAAAAACAAAAACAAAAAAAATGGTGCAATTTCTTTGACTATGGCAGTAGATCTTGGGCTCCCTAACAATCTG